CATTACCATGGTTTGGTTAAGCCCCAATCATGCTGGTATCCTTTGTTATGAAAAATCCATTCGCCTCGACCTTCCCTCTTGCGAAGCCCTCATTATCTATGGTGATAAACTTAGCTCAAACCTGCGTATCATTCCATGCTTCAAAACCCATAAATATTTGCGAAAGGAGTGATATACATTCCTAGCACATATCATTTGAGAAGCAAGAAGTTAAAGAACTCGAGAGCATCCCCGAAGACTGCAACTTTTCGGATGTCTTCCCCGAAGATCTTCCCGGAATCTATCCCGAGCGCCAAGTCGAGTTCCGAATCGACTTAATCCCCGGAGTTATGCCCATATCTAAATCCCCATACCGTCTAGCACTGGCAGAACTGCAAGAGTTATCCAGTCAGCTCAATGAACTACTCAGAAAAGGGATTCATCAGACCGAGTTCCTCACCCTGGGGAGCCCCTGTCTTATTTGTGAAAAAGAAGGATGGATATTTTTGGATGTGTATTGATTATCGTGAACTGAACAAGCTTACCATCAAAAATCGTTATCCTCTTCCCCGAATTGATGACCTCTTCGATCAACTCCAAGGAGTCGGCTATTTCTCAAAGATAGACATGAGATCAGGGTACCATCAGTTACAAGTCCATGAGGGTGATGTCCCTAAGACATCATTTCAGACTCGATATGGTCACTACAAGTTTGTAGTAATGCCCTTTGGTCTAACCAACGCACCGGCGTTATTCATGGATCTAATGAATTGGGTGTGACGCCCTTTCCTAGACAAGTTCGTAATCGTGTTCATTGATGATATACTTGTCTACTCTCGGAGTGAGGAAGATCATAGACAACACTTGAGGCTAGTATTAGAAACTCTAAGGGCGGAGAAGCTGTATGCGAAATTCTCTAAGTGAGAATTCTGGATCCGAAAGGTAACTTTTCTCGGTCACGTGGTTAGTGAGGAAGCCATACACGTGGAACCTTCCAAGATCAAAGTGACAGATAATTGGTCAGCACCGAAGACGCCCACAAAAATCCATCAATTCTTGGGTCTCGTTGGCTACTATTGCAGATTTATCCAGAATTTCTCCAGGATTGTTAAGCCTTTAACCACCCTGACTCAGAAAGGTGTACCATTTTGTTGGGGAGAAAAGAAAGAAATTGCGTTTCAAACATTAAAGCAGGCTCTGTGCGGTGCACCTATCTTATCTCTTCCTGAAGGGACGAAGGACTTCATAGTCTACTGTGATCCATCCAATCAGGGCCTAGGCTGTGTGCTCATGCAGCGATGAAAGGTTATTACCTATGCCTCAAGACAGCTGAAAGAACACGAAGTCAATTATACTACCCACGACTTGCAGTTGGGAGCAGTGGTCTTCGCATTAAAGATATGGAGACATTATTTCTACCGAACCAAGTGCACTATCTTCACTGACCATAAGAGTTTGCTGCACATTTTCGATCAGAAAGAGTTGAGCATGAGACAACGACGATGGGTGGAGCTACTCAATGATTATGAGTGTGAGATACGCTATCATCCAGGCAAAGCCAGTGTGGTAGCTGATGCCCTCAGCCGGAAAAAATACTCAGGTCGTAGAGGGAAGGCACTGATAATGACCATCTATTCCCATTTATCCGCTCAAATGAGAGAGGCTCAGCTGGAAGCCTTGAAACCAGAGAACATGTCAGATGAAGCCTTAAGGGGAATGGAAATGAACTTAGAGATCAAGGGAGACGGAGTTCACTATTTCATGGACCGGATCTGGACCCCAAAGTTCGACGGTTACAGGGAGGTTGTCGTGAACGAATTTCACAAGACTATATACTCCGTTCATCCAGGTTCGGATAAGATGTACCTGGATATCAAAAAGTTATATTGGTGGCCAAACATGAAAGCATAAATCGCTACTTTCGTGGGCAAGCGCCTAACTTGCGCCAAGGTGAAAGTTATCAAAAGCCCTCAGGTCTACTTCAGTAGCTAGAAATACCTGAGTGGAAGTGGGAAAGGATTATAATGGATTTCATCACTAAGTTGCCCTATTCTCTGAGTGGGTACAATACCATCTGGGTAATTTTCGATCGACTGACTAAATCCGCCCACTTCCTGCCACTCAAAGAGACATTCAAGATGGAGAGACTTACACAAATCTACATCCAAGAGATAGTTCATCTGCATGGTGTACCTGTGTCCATTATCTCCGATCGGGATAGCAGATTCACCTTGAGATTTTGGCAGTCACTTCAGAAGGCTCTTGGAACTAAGCTGGATATGAGCACATCTTACCATCCACAGACATACGGGCAGAGTGAAAGGACCATTCAAACATTGGAATACATATTGAGAGCGTGTGTCATAGACTTTGGTAAGTCATGGAACACCCATTTATCTTTGGTTGAGTTCTCCTACAGCAACAGGTAACAGACCAGCATCAAGGCTACGACTTTTGAAGCCCTCTATGGTCGTAAGTGCAGATCCCCTCTGTGCTTGGTTGAAGTGGGCGACACGCAACTAGTTAAAGGTCAAGTCCCCGATATAACTCTCACATGCCCAGAAATTATCCGAGAAACTATATAAAAGATCATACAAATTCAGGAACGACTAAAAGCTTCAAGAGATAGACAAAAGAGCTATGCTGATAAAAGACGAAAGCCTTTAGAGTTCCAGGTTGGTGACCGTGTTCGTTTGAAGGTCTCACCCTGGAAAGGCATGATACACTTTGGAAATCAAGGAAAGCTGAATCCGAGATTCATAGGACCATTATAGATCCTCGCTAGGATCTGTCCCGTAGCATACAAACTTTAGTTACCCCAAGAACTTAGCAATATTCATCCTGTCTTCCACATCTCGAACCTTAAAAAGTGTCTATCTGACGAAACCCTTGTAATCCCTCTTGATGAGATCGAGATCAACGAGAACCTCAACTTCGTGGAAGAACCAGTCGAAATCATGGAACGGGAAGTCAAGCGAACAAAACAAAATCGCATACCGATAGTGAAGGTCCGCTGGAATGCCAAGCGGGGACCTGAATTCACTTGGGAGCGATAAAATTCCATGAAACAGAAATACCCTAATCTTTTTCCGATTCCATGATTTATATTCTGAGTTTGATTTTCGGGACGAAATTCCCTCTAATGGGGGAATGATGTGACAACCCGAATGTTTTTCCATTAATGTTAGCTCGATTATGTTAATATAGTATAAATTTTATTTAATTCTGTCAAATTCTTATTATTTGGAAAATCATTTAAGTTATATAATTGAATTTTCTTTTATGACTCGGAACCAAAAATCACGTGAAAACCAGAGTTCCTTCAAAAATCAGCGAAAATCCGGCCTGATTGGTGTTCACGGTCGTGAACCCGATCACGACCGTAAACCCGTTCATGGTAGGACCCCACCACCGACCACTCCCCCAACCTATATATACGTGACTCCCACCCTTATTTGAACTTTTCTGGATGCAAACACACTTTCTCTCTCTAAAAACCACTACCCGAAAACACAAGGATATACAAGATTTCTCTTCATCTATCGTTATATCCGCCTTGAAACTCATTTTCAAGCATCAAATCATCAGTTTCTCATCGAGATCAAGTGTTGTTGTTCTTGAGTTTATGGTCGTACACCCTTCAAAAGTTCATATTTCCTTCAAGAACATCGTTCACAGCCGTAAACCCTTCAAGGGTCTATTCACGATCGAGAATAGTTCACGGCCGGAAACCCTTTACGGCCGCAAACTCCTTCGCGTCGTGAATCTTGGCCGCAAATCCAATTTTCCACCTCTATCGAGTCTCAGTAACATTCCTAAACCAATAACAAGTGTTTATCTAGCACTATAATAAATGGTGTAAGGGTAGTTTGGTTAGAGTCGAAGTCTAATATGCACTCTTCGTATGTTTTGTTATCTATTTTACAAAGGCATATTATTCGAAGCTTTGATGTCTAGTCCTTAGTATATTTTTAGTACGCTTTTATTCTCCTATAAATAGGAGTCTTTACTAGAGTTAGATAAGGTTTTTACAGTCTTGTCTACTTTTGCACTCTGTAAACCTAAAGCGTAATATTGAGCTGAATCAAGATCTTATTTACATCGGTGTTCAATCTTTCATACAATTTTTGATTACATACTCTGATTAATATTCAAACTCGATTCTTAGATTCTAAAATTGGTATTAGAGCATGAATCATATCTCTGATCTGATTTTCATCCTTTCAAAAGTTTTTAAATCAATTTTTTGGTTTAAAAGTTTCCACACTTTTTGAAAAGTGAAAAGTTCATTGGATCTAAGTCTGTGATTCGATTCTGCACTTGAATTGTTGAATCGAGTGTTCTGCTAGTTGTTTCAATTTGAATCAACTAGTTTGTTGTTAAAAATCTCAAGTTTTCTTCAAAATTCTCAAAGTTTTCTTCCGTACAACAATTGCGTCCACTACTAGAAAAACAGCCTTTTACGACGCTCATTGCGCGTCGTAAAAGGCTCAGACGACGCGCAAATGCGCGTCAAGGAAGGCCCTGTCATAAAGAGAGACGACGCGCATTTACGACGCTCATTTACGACGTGCAATTATGACGCGCGTTTACGACACGCAATGCGTATCAAGGAAGGCCCTGTCATAAAGGAAAACGACACGCATTCGCGTGTCGTAACCTTACGACGCGCGTGTTAATGACACGCAATGCGTATCAAGAAAGCCACTGTCAAGAAAGGCCATGTCATAAATGAAGACGACACACATTTTTGCGTATCATAATTTTAAATGTTTAAAAAAATATTATTTATAGATTTACTTATTTTCAAATTAAATTTGTATTTAATGTTTCATAATAGAAAATAAAATATCATATACAAAAAATAGAATCCATTGCATAAATTTAACGTCATACAAATAATCGTTCCATGGAAAGATAAAACAAATCAATAGAAGTTGTAACAAAAGTTTACAAACGAATTAGATACAAAAAATACAATCCATTGCCCCTTTGCTTATTTAAGATCAACCTGCAAGTAGCTAACTAATCTGTACAAATTCACCCTTGTTTCTAATCATTTTCTTAAATACTTTACAAACATAATTCATCCATAGTACCTGAACTATAGTTGCAGCCTTGTTTCTTCTTTTTCTGAACTCATCTCTTGGAACCATTGCTCTAAGCCTAGTCTGAATAGATACAACAGCTAGCTGTTTCCAGATGAAATCAGATATAAAATATGGAGCCAAACAAACCATACCTTTGGTGACACTATAAACAGACCCAACAGAAACGTGAACAAGACCTGCAACAGATGAAATCAAAACAATGTTTCTAGCTCCAGAAGCTTTTAAAAGATCATTAAACTAAAATCATTAATTAAAATTTGGGTTATATATTATAATGCTTACCTTTTTGTGTAAAGATCTTTCATAAGTTGATTAGCAATACCATCTTGCAACAAATCCTTATGAAGAAGAAGTGTTTCCAATTTAAAAAAATAAAAAATAAAAAATAGAAAATAGAAAACATCATACAGTGTTTTTAAAAAAATGAATACCATAGCATTACATGTAGATGGGTAACTTGTTTTTGAATCCAAAACTATGTTTTCCGCCATTTCTATATCGACAGATTTGTCAAGACAGACATGACAAATTCAAATTGAAAGTTTAAAAAAAAGATTTATGACATCATCGATGATGTCATCATTAGAAATTAAGATTTAAGATCTAAATAGCATGACCTAGAACAGGAATTTTGATTGAAGATTTAATTTGGGAAACAAGATTGTTGCTGCCTCTTGGAATCACAAGATCGATTACATCATCAAGCTGCAGTGGAATTAGAAACGGAAATGGAATTGGAATCATGTATTCCGGTTAAATATATAAATAAGATTTCAAACCTTAAGGAGTTGAGGAATTTGTTCTCGAGAAGTCACAAGTGTAATAAGCTCTTTACCAATTGTTTTCATTACTGAAGTAATAATCATGAAATTTGAAAAAAAAAAAAAAAAAATTAGCAACAATGAGTTTCGAAATTTAGACTGGTTGAATTTACTAAATTAACCTTGTGCAAGATAGCATTGGATCGTTTGGCTTCTTTTCCCCCTTCAAGTAGAATCCTATTTCCAGTTCTAATAGCCAATGATGCTATCTGTTAAAATTATATAAAAAATAAGAAATCAAAGACTTGAATTATTATAAGTGAAATAATAAAGGAGTATGAGATTAACGATTGTTATACAAATTTTCACAAAAAATCACCTGAATTATCACATGAACAAATATCTGACTTAGAATGATGAACAACTATTGTCTATAGTAGTTGTCGGATCTAATTATGAGAACATAATGTTAAATTTCAATGATATTAATCATTAGAGGAGGAAATTAAAAAGATGTATATTATTTTAAGCATATGTAATTGGTTATAATGTAAACAAAATAACATGATACAAGAAGGAAGACATGTCTGCAACATCTAAAAGGGAGAAAAACCTGAGCAGCAGCCATGTAGCTACTGAGATGATGAATTAGTGAAGCACAACTAGAGGAATTAATCAAGACTAGTGTATTTGGTAGAGAATGGTTGTATATAAATAAGCAAAAAGGCACGGTATGGTGTGGGTTGGTAGTAAGAAGCAAAGGAATATTACCAAAACGCCCACTGCTAGATATTAAATGGTCTGAACCCAAACCAGATTTCAAGAATGCACTTGACCATATGTTGCCATAACCACTTGACCAGTCAGAGTTGTATCCTCTAAAGCCGCCACTTGCCTGTATGTATTGCAGTTACAAGTAACAATATTAAAAGTTTCTCGTTCTATTTCAAGTGGAAAAGTTGCAAGGGTAATTATTCCCTTTCTTCAACTTCACCTTGCAAAAAATTAGATTTATATATTTATTGGATTTCATTATCCCTGTTCTATAGTATTTTTGTATATGATCCAAAAGGAATAATTCTTTTTTGGCCTGCTTTGTTAAAAAAAAAGGACGTTAAGTCTATATCCTCTTTTGGTCTACACTTTTTCCTTTAACTGGTTTCCTATTTCCCAGGTTTCTTCTAAACGAAACAAAATAGGGGAAAAACAAAAGGAAGATACTCTATTCGTTCTCTTGATATTGTGTCTGGAATGATACACAATACTGTATCAGCAAATGAATCCAAGGTAAAAGTTCATTTTTGAGATTTTTCTTCTATTTTCTTTGGTGATTTCATATAAATAATTTAGAAAGGTAACAAAAGAAGTAAACTAACCTTATCATGGAAACTGTCTAAAGGTCCGTTGTTGATTTGGGAGATCAAAGGATTCACTGATTCCAAATTTTCCCCTGCAAGTGAAAGGGCTACCAACTTCCTCTGACTATTAGCTAGTTTACCGCTTAATGTTTGAGTCATGAAGGATGCCCAATTGATTGTGTCATGTGAACAGTCAAAAGGGTAAAATAGTAAATAATGATTATAGAAAGAACAAAAATGAAGGTCATGACTTTTTAGTTTTTACCCTCAAAGCAATTATTAGAGGAAAATGAGTTGACTCGGTTTGCTGAGGAGCTGCAGCTGTGTGTTCCAGCATTCCCTTTTAAAATGATGCATCAACAGAACACTCCATAAATGACTTATTTGATCAAACAACCTGAAGATATTTTGAGAAATAAAATGTTGTTAAAGGAAGGGATGGATGTAGGATATTGTTTTTTTATATCTAAACACTCCATAAGCTTGAACTTGTTTTTTATATCTAAATTTAGTTTAAAATTTTTTAACAAGTGCGTATCCGTAACTGGTTTTGTCGGTTCCGAGGGCACATGGGTATCGGTTTCAGAAGTGAATCGAGCAAGTCCAAAATCAGCAATATGAATAAATTAAGTTAAAAATGTTCATTTCACTAAACATATATTATTATTATACAAGCAGTTTCTACCTTTGGCTCAAAATATAACTTCAAACCACCATTAGGCATCGTAAATGAGCACTTTTTGGTGTATATTATTCAACATTGTTCCCTGTAGTTATTTAGAATGATAAAAAAAATTAACAATCTAATGATCTTTATTAAATTATATGTGAATTAAATATTTACATGATCAGCTACTGCCTGTCTGTTATATCCGACACCTAGTTATTTCCGGTACCTAGTTATATCCACCAGTTGACACCTATTAAACTGCAAAAGAGCCACAACATAAGCTTTCTATAGCTATTTATTTTACCATGATGAGGATGAAATTTTCACAGCTTTGCACAATTCATACTAATACATGTGTAATGCTAAAAAAAGGGAGAGAAATAACAATTACCGGAAGAGAACAATGTTGGTCACATGGGACATCTTCTTCATCTGTCATGCTCTAGGTACCTGGTTAAAAAAAACTGATAGTCCAGAATCTATGTACCCTTGCATTGATTGGAAGAATCTTCATAATCCTACTACACACAAACAAATAGTCAATAATATGAGCTACCATATGTGTATGCTATCCACTTCCTTTTCACTAAAGAAATCGATGTGTAGACATTTAAACAAACAGTTGGCGTGCAACTAAAAATCACCCAAATTAGAGAAAACACTTATATTAATTAAACAATACGATGTTGATAGCAAAGTTAAAACAAAAATACAAATTAGAGCGCACATAATCAAAATCCGAAAATGAAATCACCTTCAAGGGAATAGTGGAGGCATAAGATGTTGACAGAAAAGATGAGTGAATGGGTGGATTGGGCAGAACTGTAAGATCTCGTGGTAGGGAGGTGATGAACGGATGGCATGAGTCCTAGAAAATCCAGACCACTGTTTGGTGATGCTGGAGCACAATAGCCCTTAAACAGAAACAAAATATTTTAGCTCCACCAATATACTACAAAAGTAAACAATAATAATAATAATAAATAAATAAATCACCTTTGATTTAATAAAGCTTCACGATCCTTCCTGTCTAAGGTAAACCATGGATCATGACCCCATTTTCTTTTAAATGTTTGATAATCGGTGTGGTGGTTGATATCCTCACAATCCCTTAACAACCTTCAAACACCACCATACAGCCTCACCTGTAAATAAAAAAAAGATAAATAATAAGAATGGAGAATAAGAGACTGCGATACGCAAAATCTGAACAGGCATATATAGTGCTTTCATACTTATGTAGTAGTGGTGGTCGAACATTGGTCATATTCTCGCTAACCCTACCCACCTCAATTCAATGATGAATCATAACAAAGGAAAAAACATCAATGATGCTTATGTTGTAGAGAGCACTACTTTACGTTTTGAAAAAAAGCCCTAGAATCGTCCCTTCAATTTTGTGTGTGTGTTTGAGAGAGAGAGAGAGAGAGAGAGAGAGATAGCGATAAGTCTGTGCGTGTGTGAGAGTCTGGCATATGTAGAATAGGGTTCTTGAAAAAAGTAGTAGAATCGTCCCTTCAATCATCCCTTGCCTCTATTTCACGTATTTGGATTCTTTATACTGATCGTTATCATCGTTGGCGTGAGGCATTTGATCATGAAAGCCAGAGCAATTATGCTATGAAGACGAAGGCCCTAGGGCTTTTTCTTGCTAATCGGAAGAGGCGGGGGGTTTTAATTTTTGGCATCCAATAGGCGGGTGAAATCCCGCTTAAAATGCGTGTTTCATTAAAAAATTATAAAGCGACATACTTAGATGACACACATCTAATGAAAGGCGCCCTCCGCATTTTCTTTTTTTTCTTTTCCGATAGTAATTTTAAGGCGCGCACAAATGCGTGTCTTCTATCCTTCAAAATTTTGAAAACTGACATTATTTTTTAGGGCACACACAAATGAGTATCCTCTATCAACGCGTGTCATTGTTTGCGCGTCCTTAAAGGCCTATTTTCTAGTAGTGGTCATTCGATATTAATTCCATGACTTCACTCTCTCATTTGTTGGGGTCATCAACAAAAATTCCAATGCTAATCCCTGAGTATTATGATCAGTGGGCTGATTGTATGGAGGATTATCTCAATGGTTTAGATGAAGAATTGTGGACGTGTATTTTTGCTAATATCAATCCTCCATCAAATGTTCAACCACTTGGAGCATCTTCTGCAAGTTCTGGAGTAGAGAATCAAACTGAGCGTATGAAAATGCTAGAGAAGAGATGCATGAGAGAGTTGCGACGAGCTTTGCCTCCAGTTGTTTACAACTATGTGATGAGTTGTAAAACTGCAAAGGAAATCTGGAACAATCTAAAGGACAAATTTCAAGGAAGTGAGAAGACAAGAGTTAGTTCTGTGAAACAATCCTTGGTTGAATTGAAAGACTTCGAACAGAAAGAAAGTGAAACTATTGAGGTGTATTATGATCGTCTGAATGAATTGGATGCAACCAATATGGAATCACCATATTAGTCATGGAGTTCAATATCATCTTTGTTATGGGTCTGAGAAAGGAGTGGCGAAATGTCTGCATGATGGTCAAAAATCAACAGAGCTTTGATACATCAACTTTGAATGATGGGTACAATCAGTTAAAATCACACGAAAATGAAGTGAACGAAATTGCTGAAGAAACGAAGGCAAGTTTGGGAGCTCCATTGGCTTTGGTTTCAAAAATGATTGAGAAAGAAGTTCATGAGAAAAGTGATTCTGATGGAGAAGAAGGATTCATCATGAATTCTGATGATGAAGCAATAGCCTTTTATTCAAACAATCGTGTCAAAAATTTCTTCAAAACCATTCAATTCGAAGATTAAGTCAACTGAGATTAAAGGAAGTTTTGTGAATAAAACTACAAGTGATGAGAAGAACAAGGAAGAGAAGAAGGATGCGAAGATTGTTGAGGGAAAGATTGAGAAGAAGTTGAAAGGAGATGATGGAGTAGATTGTTACTACTGTAATGGGGCTAATCATCTAGCCAATGATTGCATGTTGAGGAAGAAAGATGAGAAGAAGAATAAGGTAAAATATGAAGCTTATTATGCTGAAAGACTGGAAGAGGTTCGTGCGAAGGTGAAAAACTTGTCATTGGTTGCCATGGGAGAACAAGAAGATGATGGAACTTATCAAGTCTGGTCATCTGGATCAGATGATGAAGAGATGCAAAATCCAACACATGGAGCAATGTTTGCAAAGATGGAGGAGGAATCTGATGAGGAAGCATACGAAGTAAAAGGAAGATGCTTCGTATCAAAGGCTGCAGACAAATCTCCAATGACAACAAAGGTACGTAACATTATTGAATCTTTTAATATTCCAGTACATGCTTATAATTCTGAATTGGTGTCTTTTGATGAAACTGTTACTTATTTTGATTCAATTGTGGTGTCTGCTAGCAATGAGGCTAAGAAGCTTTCTATGCAGTTGTTAGAGACAGAGAAGAAGTTAGATTTGAAAAACACGAAAGTATATTGTTTAGAACTTCAGATTACAAACATTATGGTTGATAGGGATAATTTTCGAAGTGAAATAAAATTGATGTTAGCACAAAGAAACATTTACTGTAATTCAGCTAAGAGATTGTACGGGAAATTAACAAAGTTACATCATTCTTGTGAGATAATTAAAGAACAACATAGAAATTTATTGCCTTTTTTAGCTTACGAAAGAGTTAAGGTAGATAATATTTCATATGATTGTGAGAAAGAAATAGTTGAATTTGACAAAGTTCCTGATGATAGATATAGATATGGAATAGTCAAAGTAGATGAATGTCTTGATGCTACTGAATTAGTTGAAATTGTAAATGATACTTTGACTAAGTCTGAACAAATTCACATTTTGAAAAAGACTAAAACTTCAACATCTGATGCTCAATGTAATTTTGCTGATATTGAAGATAATTCTGACAATATCAGTGAAATTAGTCATCTTGAGGATGTTGATTGTTCTCAGTTGTCTATTATTAATGTTGCATCTTCATCTAAAGGGAAAGAAAAAGTTAATGATTTGTTGGTTAAGAATGATACTAATCAACCCTCAACTTCTAAAGTTTGTGATTTGGACTTTGTGGAAATCAGAGACAGTCAAACAGATGATAGTGATGATGAAAAAGATGAGAAACATTCGAAGGAAAAGGAATTTTCAAAGAATGAAGAAATTCCTCGAATTGTAGTTGACCAAGTGTATGGTTATACACAAAAGTATGAAAAAGTGTTGAAAGAACAAGGTGCTCATTACCTTGAAACAAATACTGTGCTGTATCCAATTTTCAAGTGTACAGATGATGTTGTGTTTCCAAACCAAGTGTTCGTAACAACTGGAAACATTGAAAATGTCAAACCAGAATTCAAGAAATTGGTGGAACAAGACAATTTGAAAACATTCGATGAAGGGTTCTTCTCAAATCAAAGCACAGTTGAAAGCAACCTAACAAAGAATTCATATATTTTCCAAAGACAAAAATCTCAGAGAAAATGGGTTGAAAAATCAAAAAT